TTTTAGTGCATGATCTTCTTTGCCATTATTCATTGTGACAGACAGACCTGAATGACTTAGAGCTAGTGGGCAGGCTTCTGAAACTAGCTTGGCCACTTAAGGGGGAGAGGAAGGAAGGAAGTCAGTAGATAATCATTTCAGCTACTTTCCTAGCATAAGCTGCTCTCTGCTCCATAATGCTGCCTATCCAACCACAGAAACATCAAGAAGAAGAAGAAGAGATTGGATTTATACCCCGCCCTTCACTTGGAGTCTCAGAGCGGTTTACAAACTCCTTTCCCTTCCCTTCCCCACAACAGACACCCTGTGAGGTGGGTGGGGCTGAGAGAACTCTGACACAAACTGCTCTTTTTCAAGGACAGCTGTGCCAGAGCTTGTGACTGACCCAAGGTCACATCAGCAGGTGCAAGTGGAGGAGTGGGGAATTAAGCCCGGTTCTCCCAGATTAGAGTCCGCACGCTTAACCACTACACCAAACTGGCTCTTGCCGGCTTTCCTTAATAAATAGACTTCACAGGCTTTTAGAATTGTTGCCATACATTTCGCTCATCTCCTTTTTTGTTTCAGGTTGCTGTATTCTTTGGCTATTCCTGCACTAATACTTAGTGGAGTTCTGTGTATCTATTTGTTCCTGTTCCTGTGTGGTATACGGCTGTGGCTCCAACAAAGGAAAAACAAATTAACCCCCCCAGGGAAAGACGGGAAAAGGCCATGTGTGGTTGCATTTTTTCATCCATATTGTAATGCAGGTGGTGGAGGGGAGAGAGTCTTATGGTGTGCTCTCCGAGCTTTACAGAATAAGTAAGTACACTTTACTTTTGTAGTACTGGTGTATGATTTTTGCATTTATTGCTGTAGCTTTCTAAAGTGACATTCTGCAACTAAAACCTTGCTGTTTTGTTTTCATTTTTAAATTTTCTATTGTCTGTATTAGATTTTGTGTTGGTTCTTAAGTACAACAGAAGTCACTAACTTGCTTATGCATTTGTGTCTGAAAGCTGCATATCAGTTTCAGAAAAATGTAGAAAAATGCAATTTGTACAGACTATTCGTTAAAATAAAGGTCACTTACAGGAAAATGAAGCGGTACTAGTTTAGAAATACAGTATTAAGTGTAAGTCCTAAATCTTACACTACAGAGTCTCTGTTTTGTCAAAAGGTACTTATTTATGTAGTCCCCAAGGTCATGACTTAAAAGAGCTCAGTTAAGCATCCCCAGGATTTTCAAGTGCACAACAGCAATATGCTGCAAACAGTGTCTGAAACCTGTTTTTCTGTCTGTCTGGGGTTTTTTTTGGGGGGGGGGAGGGAATCAAAGCTCAAAGTTTTGCTTACAAGAATTTATCTACTTACTTCAATTTCTACTCACCTTGTCTCCCAGTGAGGATCCAAAAATGTGTACATTATTCTCCTCCCTCTCTCTCCATTTTACCCTCACAACAACCCTGGACTAGCATCTGGAAGACCAGGTTTGAGTCCCCACTCTGCTATGTACGGAAGCTCAATGGATGACTTTGAACTAGTCCTATGCACTGTGCCTAACCTACCTCACAGAGTTGTTGAGTGATAAAATGGGGAAGGGCAGAATGTTGTAAGCCACTTTGGATCCCTATTGAGAAAAAAAGTGGAGTATAAATTGAGCAAATAAATGTTTTCACAAACATATGAAGCATTTTAGAATGCTCAAAGTACCATATACCTGCTTAGTTACTACTATTAGATATTCCAGATTACAGGGACTTTGATGCAATTAATGTTAATATTTAAAGCAGAACGACTGGGTTTTCATTTCTTCTTTTGTGATGCATCACTAAGCTTAACTCTTTTCCAGTTCACCAATATGCTTAATTCTTTTGCTATCAACTTTTTATGGAAGTTACTCACTGGAGATGGCCTCTTCCACAGCATTGCACAGCCTTAATTCCAACTTCTTGAAGCCATTTAAAATTGACTGAAAAATCTGAGCAGGAAACACGTTCAGTTGTACTTGCACACTGAGTTTTCACAGAAGAGTCTGAATAGTAAACTGTGTTTTATGTTCCAGGTACAAAGATGCTTCCTATATTATCTACACTGGTGATACCGATGTCACAGCTGAGAATATTCTGCAAGGTGCTTACAGGCGATTTAACATCAGATTAAATCAACCAGTGGAGTTTGTGTTTTTGAAAAAGCGCTACCTTGTGGAAGCTTCCCTTTACCCATATTTCACTCTGCTGGGACAGAGCTTAGGGTCAGTGGTTCTGGGCTGGGAAGCTCTTGTGAAGTGTGTTCCTGATGTTTACATAGACTCCATGGGTTATGCCTTCACGCTTCCTCTCTTTAAATATTTAGGAGGTTGTCAGGTAGGATGCTACGTTCACTACCCTACCATCAGTACTGATATGCTTTCTGTGGTTAAGAATCAGAATGCCAGATTTAATAATGCCACCATCATTGCAAAAAATCCCTTGTTAAGTAAACTGAAACTTGTGTATTATTACCTTTTTGCTTTGGTGTATGGATTAGTTGGGTCTTGTGCTGATGTTGTCATGGTTAATTCTTCATGGACGCGCGGTCACATTGCTTCCCTTTGGCGCTGTGGTGTCT